CCTGTTCGCAGAGGTAGAGCCGACCACCTTGACCAACTCGTCGGTAGAGACTCTGGCTATTATGATTGACCAACAGACTACTACGACGAGGAGTCAGAATCCCGAGGTCGATGTTGCTACTTTGGGCAGGCCTTCATCTTTCGAACCAGGTCGTGCTTCTTTCTCGGCCGTAGAATGAGGGAAATGTGTCGTGGTTGATGACTATGAGTCTGAATCCGATCTTGATCCCGATGATGTCAGGATGTTTGAGGAAGGCCTTATTCATACGGTGGTTCATGCAGGAGGCCCGACCCGTATACCATAAATCCCATCAGAGATTAACCTTCTAGGAGATACAGAGGACTTGTTGCCGCTGTTTGATCTTTTGTGCTTTGTTGTCGAGTGTGAGGCTCATCGGGACGTCCGCGACATCGATTTGATGCACGAAGTGGCTGCTATAGGCCTGAGGGTAAGTTTTTCCTCTTTCTTTTTGCGTTCTTTTTATCTTTGGTGGACTTGGCCTTTACTAATTCTTTTTGTCTTCCAGACATATATGGTGGAGATTGAAAGTGCCCGCAGGGCCGACACCAGGGCCAAAAATTTTCTGATGATGTTGGAGAAGTATCAGCTCTACCGCAACAAGTGCTGTGAGATGCACGAGCGGCTGAGGGCGAACGCCGATGATCGATCTCTTTGTGAGGAACTGAAGAAGAGGGATCAGGAGTTGATGCACGCTATTCGTAGAAATAGCGAGCTCGAGGAGAAACTTCATGTAAAGGATGAAGAAGTTGAATTGGGCAAAGGGGTCGCCAGTGTGAGCATCTTCAGGTGAAGGTGCGGTCGATGCAATCTGAAATGGATCAGAATGCCATCAGGGACGAGGTGATGAGTGCGGAATGGATGGGAAAGTTAGCCGAGCTGGAGAGAAAGGTTTCCGAGTTGGAGAGTGTCGAGAGTTCCTGGGCATCGTCTTCAGCGAGGGTGGTGGCTTTAGAGGACACTATCCGCATCCTTCAATCCGAGCAGGAATCTGAGAGGGCGACGACAACGCTTAGGAAGGCAAGGCTCGAACAGCGTATTGGCGAAATTGATCGGGAAACTTCAACCTTGGGAGATAGGGTCGTTATTCTTGAGGCCAAAAAGGCACAACTATTGACCCAGGTCGAGTCTTCCTCTGCCGCTGTTCCTCACCATTTGCACAAGCTCTGGGTACATGCCAAAGCCTAGTGGGACATATATAAGAGTTTATGGGAAGTGGATAATGTTTCTGACGCCGCTTATGAAGGAGCTCGGGCGAAGGCACGAGAGGCTCATGCTAACTGTAGATATGATCCTACGACGCCGAAGGCCGACAAGGATGTTGACGCTGAAGAGGGACTTCCTGGAGATGGTGATGAGGAGAACGGCGGTGATGACGCCGAGTGAAGGAGTTGTTATCTTTGTTAGTGTTGTTTTTTTTGTTTGTTGTTTTTTCTGTTTCTGTACTGGACCGGTTTTAGCCATGTATAATCTGCGGGTACTTGCACAATTGTTTAAATAAAGGAGCTTTCATCGTTGTACTTCCTTGGTATCCTTTCCCCTTTTGCTTTACATATCTTTGGCATAAATTTTTGGATTTTTGCACGGTGGATTCCTATTTTTTCAAGAAAACCAATTTTAACCGGACTGAGCGGGACTTCGTTATGAGTCCTATTGGAGTCCCATTCGATTCGCCTATTTGGGGCGGAATTGACTTGGTGACTTATTGCTTTAGAAAGATCCGCCTTTGACTCGGCTGAGTTGATATAATTTCATTGTTTTGGACGAAGTTAGTCTTGACTTGAGTCGTTCATGCGGGATCAAATTGTTGCTAATTTGGGCGAAATCGCTTCTCTCTTTTTTTAATCAATTTTTCGATAAGCAGAAGGGAAAAAGGCACGACGGCGGTCGATAGCTGCAAAGGCATTATTGGGCTCGAATGAGTTCAAACTTTTCCTTTTGCGATGGCTCTTTGCCATGAAGATATTGTTTTAAGCTAGCGTCGACATAATATCCCATTATAATTTGAACAAGGTCGATCTTCCCTTTTCATTTAGTGACAGCCTTTGGCCGTAAGGATGTTATTTAGAATTGTCATCGAAATACTGTTCTATTAGGACTCGAACGAGGTTGAACTTTTCCTTTTTGGTGATGTCCCTTGGCCGTAAAGGCGTTATTTCGAGCTGGTCGAAATATTAACCCATTGTAGTTCGAGGAAGTCGAACTCTTCTTATTTTTGGAGATGGCTCTTGGTCGTATAGGTGTTATTTCGAGCTGGTCGAAATATTTACCTGCTGCAGTTCGAGCGAGGTCGAACCCTTATCTTTTTTTTTTGTGATGACCCTTGGCTGTGGAGGTGTTATTTCGAGCTGGTCGAAATATTAACTTGTTGCAGTTCGAGCGAGGTCGAACTATTCTTTTTTTTTTGGCGATGACCCTTGGCCATAAAGGTGTTATTTCGAGCTGGTCGAAATATTAACCTGTTGCACTTCGAGCGAGGTCAAACTCTTCTCTTCTTTCCCTTTTTTTCGGTAATGGCCCTTGGTGATAAAGGTGTTATTTCGAACAGGTTGAAATATTAACCTGTTGCAGTTCGAGCGAGGTCAAACTCTTCTCCTCTTTCCTTTTTTTTGCGGTGGCCCTTGGCCATAAAGGTGTTATTTTGAGCTAGTCGAAATATTAACCTGTTGTAGTTCGAGCGAGGTCGAACTCTTCTCTTCTATCCCTTTTTTCAGCGATGGCCCTTGGCCGTAAATGTGTTATTTCGAGCTGGTCGAAATATTAACATGTTGCAGTTCGAGCGAGGTCGAACTCTTCTCTTCTTTCCTTTTTGTTTTTGGCGATGACCCTTGGCCGTTAAGGTGTTATTTCGAGCTGATCGAAATATTAACCTGTTGCAGTTCGAGCGAGGTCAAATTCTTCTCTTCTTTCTTTTTTTTTCGGCGATGGCCCTTGGTCGTAAAGGTGTTATTTCGAGCTGGTCGAAATATTAACCTGTTGCAGTTCGAGCGAGGTCCAACTCTTCTCTTCTTTCCTTTTTTCTTGGCGATGGCTCTTGGCCCTAAAGGTGTTATTTAGAGCTGGTCGAAATATTAACCTGTTGCAGTTCGAGCGAGGTCGAACTCTTCTCTTCTTTCCTTTTTTTTTTGGCGATGACCCTTGGCCGTAAAGGTGTTATTTCGAGCTAGTCGAAATATTAACCTATTGTGAGTCCTGATTTTTTTTGAGAGTTTCGGGTTTCCCCTGGAGTCCTGGTTTTGCTCAACCTCTGCATTTCCTGGGTGAGTCCTGGTTTGATCGATTTTGTTTGCATCGGAGAGAGTGATGTCGGAGGGTATAAAACGTTGTTATTTTGCTCGCGCTCATTTCATGCTTGTATTGGGGTTTCCCTGTCCAGTCCCTTCATCTTCCATTCTGGAGATGGCGTTGGCAGGCGAGGCGATGGATTATACTTTGAACTTCGGTGAAGTCCCTTTCCAGAAGTTGAGATGTCTGAGATGGGTGGCATTCAAGTTATTTTGTAATAGTTCCTCTCCAGTTGGAGTGCTTCTTTGCTCGCTTGCCCGTGCAACGCTTGTGCTCTTGTTTAAGCAAACAACAGAAGGTAAACCAAAATGAGAGTTTTCTTACCTCGATCCGATGAGTCGATGAACGATGGTAGCTTTATAGCGTTGTTCGCTCTGCCTGGCGTTTAAGTGATTAACGGAATGGTGGTTTGTGGATTCAGCAGCTGCATTCATCTCTTTTTCTCCCCCCTTTTTTTGATGCCCTGCCCCACGTGGGTTGGGTTTGTTTTGTCTCGCTCGTGAGTCGTCCAGTGTGTGGGAGGGGAGAATGTTAAAATAGGGCAAGATGTTTCCTGTTTTTTATAGAATCGTGCAGCAGGTGTCGTCTCCTCTTGTGAGCTTTGCGTGGATATTGATTGTGACTTTTTCTTTCATGTAGCATCAAGATCTAGATTAGCACGTGAGGTTTATCTACCATTCTTTCTCGTGGGTGATTATGTTTCACAGGTTTTGGACCTGAAGGAGACTAGGAAATTTGGCTAAGAAATCCTCACAGACGGCGCCAAATTGTTTGACCAAAAGATAGTTAAACCTTTTTGGGCTAATCAATTAATGATGAGGAAAGGAAAATCTTAGCCAAGCATAATCAACTTCAGATCTTAAAATGCATAGCGCAATAATGGATAATAAAATAGAAAGAACATTTTGTATTTCTTGAAGTTGCCAATCTTATCTTTTATAAGAAGAAGGCAATAACAGTTTACATCCTTCAAAGGAGGAAATTGATAGAGAAGAAGTTGAGAGAAAAAGACCCCTTTTTCGGGTATCCCCTTCTATATATATAGTTCTCAGAATTTTACTGTGATCTTTGACCAATGTTCTCTTCACGTGATGATCTAGACGTCGTTACTCGAGTATCGTTCTTACTCAGCATTCATCGTCGATGATTGGACTGAGGTTGGCCGTGGCGTTTCTCTCCATTTCGCCACTTAGGCGAAATCCCAGCTTTGTTGACCACTGTGGTCAGATTTTGATCCATACACTGTGGAAAAAAACACATCCCCAACTAAATACTGGAAATTAGTAGGGAGAATTTAAGGGTGAGGTTTCTTAAAAATATCATATAAGAATTTCATTTGAAACCAGCCAACAAGCCGATCTGGCCTAAGCCAAATGCACCTTAATTTGTTGCATGAGAGTCTCAGTTGATTTGAAATTTTTAGTTCCAGTCCATAGAGTTGGTTGGAACTTTGGAAATATAGAGTAGAAAATTGATGCTTATGGGTTCTATCTATAAAGTTAAATTATGAGAATTTGTTAGATTTTTTTTTGCCCCCCGTTGCATCAAATGATATGTAAAGTGCATTGAAAGAAAGTATGGAAGTTGTAACTTTCTTTCACTTGCTTTTTTTTCAGAGTTCCTCTGGTACTGCATCGTGTAAATATTGTTACTTGGTCTAAAGTGCTCAAGTTGTGCAAACATAAAAGATGAGACTATTAGAGTTACAATCTGCAGCATGGATATATAAAAGACAATATTCATACAATTGATTCCTAACTATTTTTAATTAATGCATTAGACTGATTGGCTTTATCGGCCACAGAGCTAGGCTGATTTATTTACCACTAAAACAAAGGTAGACACTATACAACAACAACAACCACCCGGTATACTCCCACGTGTGGGGTCTGGGGAGGGTAGTGTATACGCAGACCTTCCCCCTACCCCGGAAGATAGAGAGGTTGTTTCCGAAAGACCCTCGGTTCAAGGTAGACACTATATAATGTATTATTGTTCTGTTTTTATTCGAATACACAAAACTCGGAGCAACACATTATTAGCCTTTGCTTTTCAGTGATCCATCAGTCAAATGTATTAGCCCTTGTGAGACCTGCTGGAAAGAAGCTTGGAAATAGCCCTAATGGTATTTGGGGTGGTCCTGCAACAACCTCCGACGAGAGAAGCTCCAGCATCACACCACTTGTCTACGTATGACACGAAATCTTCCTCTGCAACACCAGTTGTAGCCTACAACAATAAACGATATTCGTTCATCTTAAGTTTCGAGACAACAGAATAGGATCGCAGCCTATCTATACATGTTGATATATGCTGCTACAGAAATGCGTGTTTCAAAACCTTTACATTCATTCATTACAAGTCCTTAAAAGCCTTTGGCCTCTGAAACAGCTAAAATTTGGGCAGCAAAAATAGAAACTTACCACCCATTCCTTCCTTTCACTGTCATAAGTTTCACCACTGTTAGGATATACAAGTACTGGTTTACTTGTTACCTGCATATATATCGTTTTCCATTGAAGCATTAAAGTCTCAAGAGTTTAAAGTTAATTTATCACATTTTTCTTAAATATCAAATTCATATGGAAGTAACCAAAGGAGTCATATACCTTTCGGATCGATTGGATCAGCCCTTGAATATATCTAGGAGGGGTACAATTGATTCCAATTCCAACAACTTGCTTACACGAATCAGTGATCGAAGCACATTCTACCACGGAATCCCCACTAACCACATTGGTTCCATCTTTAGAACTGAAGGAAAACCAGGCTGGAATATTTATGGCCTCTTCCTCAAGAAGCTCAGCATAAGCCTATATGCAATGAAAATGGAGTTATATCACATAATCACCACTACTGTGTCCAGATATAAGATCGAGTTAAGGATAATAAACAGACTATATTGGATATCATAAAAGATCAAGAAGTTAAATACCTGAGCTTCCATTTTGTTGGGAGTTGTTTCGAATGCAATCAAATCAGCACCTGAATTGGCAAGAACCTGAACTCTCCTTCGATGAAAATCTTTAAGAGTTTTCACCATGATTGCATCACCATAAATTCCACTACAAATGAAAGACGAGTAATCAGTTTCTACTACTAGTAATCAACCATATCTTAACTTAGGTGCTCAAAATATAATATACCTCGATCGTTCGGCTAATAATAAGACGTTAAACATTAACTTACCTATATTCAGAACCATCAGCCAAATAAGCGCCATAGCTTCCCACAGATGCTGCAACCAAGATTGGTTTGTGCTTCAAATTACTTCCATTATTAAAATCATCCCAAGAACCTTTCGCAGCTCTGTCGTTATATATGTTTCGTGCTTCACATGCTATCTCCACGCTTCTCTTAAGTAATGCTTCACCTTCTTCCTTTAATATGCCCTTTGCTTCAAATCCCTGAAGTGTAGCCTGTCTCATGCAAATGGTACTTCAGATTTTTGTTTTAATGCAAGTGATCAAACAACTAATGCGACATAGAGCAATAAAAGAAATAAACATAAGATGGGATTACAACCTGATAAGATGCAGAAATTATAATATTTGCACCAGCTTCCAGGTAATCTAGGTGCACCTGTTACATAAAACAGAAAAATAAGCATAGATTTTTTTTTTCCCCCATTTCTATCAAATACAACACGCGATGGCAATTGGATAAAAATAAGCCAATATTGACAATTTAAGTTTTGTGCGCTGCTAAATCATATATTACGTTAATATGATGAAAGTTTACTCTATTTAATTAGATTGACATCAGCAGATTGAATTCCCTACCTCAACATTTGCTTCCGCAGTTATATATTTTTCACACCATCAAGATTAACTTATCCTACAACAACAGGTATCATACATAGCACGTCTAATATGGTAACGTAAAAAAAAAGGTAATAACCTGGAATAATTGATTAAATTGTGCAGATAGTGTAAAATTCTTTACAATTTCAGATATATAAGTTAAATTCATTAATGTCTAAGGCTTAATGGTAACTTTGCTATTTGGATAACACATCAAAATTTCCGTACCTCAGTACTTTCTATGACCTGGGAGTGCTTGGTCTGAAATGGACCTTTTCTTTTGAACGATAAGGAAGCATATATATTAATATAAGCAAAAACTTACACCAAAGTTACATAGTCCCGTAGGACATTACTATTGTTTAAAGTTACTAGACTATTACAAACACTGGTACTTAGTTATTTAGATCATTTTGGTGAGAATAAGACCAATTTTTAGGAAAATAAATTGGCATTTCCCCCTCAGTTTATACAAATTTGCAAATATGGCGACACTTGTAACAAGCAAATGTAAGATTCTTGCATCGTACTGGCCCACATGACTGTTTAATATTCTACTCTGCTTTTATTAATTTTTCCATGTGCAGTTGATATATTTAACAGCAAAAAAGAGTACCAAAAATAATTCCTTTACGTTGCTAGATTTAATTCTTAATTGTGGTGACATATTTTGTATGCAAAATATGTGTCAGCATCATCTCTATAAAATAACTGAGAGGTGTCGAAGATAAGATCCACCACGTTTCTATCAAGGAGATAACAAAACAAAAAAAAAAAATCCATTGCAGAGTTCCAACGTCTGATGCAATCGAACATCATAAGACACTAATCAATTCTCCACATAGAACAGCTCACATGTACGTTCCACATAAACGAACAAATAATACGTAAATGAAATCTAGAGTCGATGAATAACAGGTGTAGCTCGAATTTACAGGTTAATTTTTCAGCTGGTCATTCAATTTACAATCTTTTTTTTAAAAAAACCTTTAGATTAACATTTATCAGCTTAAAATCATTGATCACTTGTGACTAGTTACTCAGAAAATAAAACTGAGCGAAATTTAATATTATAGGCAAATACTATATCCAGCCTAATATATGCTCAAATCACTAGCTAAAGTTGTCAAAATGAATGAATAACAGATCAAAACAAAATTAGGAAGAAGAGAAGAAAGAAAATAATAAGTACTATTTAAGTACAAGCATGTACGTGTCTAGATGATATGAAAAAATTAACAATTACACGGTACTAATATTTATTCTATTGCTACATAGTACTAATTAAAAAGGTCATTAACAAAATCATTAAAGATTAAAAAATAGAATAGCAGAAAATGAAACCTCATGTAACCTACGGTACCATAACCAATTATCAACAACGCAAACAAGTAATATAAGACTGTAGTCCAATAAACATTTCAATTTATCTTAATAGTATTTTTTTTTATAAATCTCAACATGTTTAAAATCACACGATCCGAAAGTATGCTTTCCTTTTTGAATTTCGTTATCAGTTAAACTATGCCATATAAAATAAAATAAGTAACATCTTGTTACTTACAAATCAAAAGTTCTCATAAACTAGAACAAAAGAATCATCATATCATAGACATACAATTACAAAAATAAATAAGAGTGTTTGTTTTTCTTGGATGGCGTTATATATATATATGGAGTAGAAGTAGTGGCGTAATTTTTCGTAAGCGATGTCGCTATTTCTAGCCATAGGCCCGTAACAGTCAAAAAAATATTTTGTGGAGCCAAGAACGTTCAAACCCAAGACCTCTCATATCAAACTTGAAGCTCTTAATCCCTAGACTATTGAACTATTTTGATGCAAGTAGTTCACTTTTAATGATTTTATCTTGTATTTCTGTTTTACTTATTATTTTTATATATATAAATAATAAAAAAAATTCGATGAAGTGGTGTCCCGTAACACCGCTTGGCTCCATGTAAATCCACCCGTAAGGAGAAGAGGTAATTAATTAAAGTACGTACCCTTCTTATAAGATGAGGAGAGCTAATAAGGCATTTGGCACTCCAAAGAGGATCATTTAAGTCAGCACCATGACGTTCCAGCTCCGTCGCAAGACCACCGTCGATGACGGCATAGCCACCGCACTGCCGGAGGAAATCAGCCAAAAGTGGGAACCCTTCAACGGTTTTCAACCCCATATGATTTTTTTTTTCTTCCTTTTTACCTGTGAAAATTAAAGATAGACTAAAAATTGATTTGTGAACTTCTCAGAAGTTGAAAGGCAAGTAAGCTTAATGAGGAGAGTTGCAAGCGGTGAATACAATACAGGCGTGTATTTGCCAGATTTATAAGAACCAAGAAGATTGTATATTATTGTTATTATCAATGCCCATATAGTTTGTAAAATATCAAATTCACTACGCAAAGTTTTATTAGTGAAATATTATTACCAACAAGGGACGGTTCAACAAAATTGGTGACCTAAAGCAAAACCTTAAGGAATTTTTACATTATTATGCCATATAGGAAACTATATTACCCTCAATGTTTAAGGTTTAATATAATTACATTTAGTATACCTAATTATCATTTATATACCATTAGTGATTTTTAAGGGTATTAATTATACTCCTAATTTAATGGTACAATATAGTCCTTCTAATACCACTCCCCCCACATTTCTCTCTCCAATTCTCACACCTTCACCCACGTTTTCCTCTCACACCCATGATTTCTGTATCAAAATCTCATTATTTCTTCCATAGCCAAGGCATTGTCGGCACTTCTGCAATCTTCTCCCAATGCTTTTGTGCCCGGGGAAGATGAGTACAAGCCTGGTCGATTTAATGGTTATGATTTCGGGTTCCTTCAGTAATATAAGAGGAAAGGAAAAGAGAGCAGCAATTCCGCCATTGACAGCCATTAAAAAGCTTTGAAGCTTTGAATTCAAATTTGGGTTTTCAAGAATCATTATTTGTTTGGAATGGGTGTTGTTATAAATAATTGGGAATATGGTTTGGAGTTTATATCTCAATTTTGAGGGGTTTTGGTGAAGATTAGACTTGGTTTTGGCTGAATTTTAAATTGAAATTCGAAAAAGAAAAAGACATGACATACATTATATTGCAGCAATTGTAGATAAATTGTAGAAAAATTGTAGACTGTTGTTTATTTATTTTTGAACTTTTATATTTTTGTGTTAAAAGTTTTAATGGGAGCTTGTTATTCCACTTCGTCTGTTTTGGAGCTAACTTGTGCAGAGGAGAAGATGTTTTTTAAGTTATATATATTGCTATACCTTTAAATTCAAGAAAGTATGGCTGTATTGTATTTAAAGATGCATGAATTTGTAGAATAGGTTGAATGTGAGGAATGAGTCAAATAAGACTCACAATGGCTTATTTTTTACATTTAATCTACAACAAAACTACATATCATTTGAAAAATTAATATGAAAATACAGAATTTCAATGTTTCTACAAATTATCTACAAAATTTCTACAAATTGTTCATAACAGAATTTATCTTTATTTTCATGCATGTTCGCCTGTAACACTAAAATTACTTGATATGCCAACATCTCCCGTTATAGAGGAATACAACTTATCTACAATTTTTTACAACTTTCACACATTATTTCCACCCATTTAAATATAACTACAATAACATAAAATTTGAGCTTTGTGTTTTTGTGTTAAAAATTTTGATGGGAGCTTGTTATTCCACTTCGTCTATTTTGGAGCTAACTTGTGCAGAGGAGAAGATATTTTTTAAGTTATATATATTGCTATAGCTTTAAATTCAAGAAAGTATGGTTGTATTGTATTTAAAGAGGCGTGAATTTGTAGAATAGGTTGAATGTGAGGAATGAGTCAAATAAGACTCACAATGGCTTGTTTTCTACATTTATTCTACAATAAAACTGCATATCATTTGAAAAATTAATATGAAAATACAGAATTTCATTGTTTCTACAAATTATCTACAAACTTTCTACAAACTGTTCATAACAGAATTTATCTTTATTTTCATGCATGTTCGTCTGCAACACTA